TGCCCGGTCCGGGCGCCCTCTCCTCCGCCGGGGAGCGGAGTCAGCGTCTCCCCGGGACGGCCGGAGGTGGCCGCTAGCCCCAGCCTACGCGAGCTCCCAGCCACCCGCCCGGCGCCCCTGTACCTTCAGCGCCCGGGCTCGTCCTTGCCGGAGCAGAAAGAAGGCCGCCATCTCTGGAACTCGGAGGCCGCCCTGGCGAGGGCGGGTCGCGAGGAGGTCGCACCTGACTGACGCAAGCGCTGCGCGCGCACCCCACCTGAAAGCCCGCCTCTTGAACCTAGGGCACCAATCACAGGCAGGGATGGGAGGAGTGGGAGGGGAGCAGCCGCTGCGCGCGCACCACTACCTGAGCACCCGCCCCCTGGGCAAGAGGACACCAATCACAAGAGGGGGCAGGGGCGGGGCGGAGGCGTGGTCTTGCGCACGCTCCCCAGCTGCAACCGGCTCTCCGCGGGACACCTGGCGGCGGTGCGCCTAGCCAGCTGGCGCTTGTTGCAGAGCTCGGAGGCCCAGCGGCCTGGGCGCCGGGCTATACGTGCTATATTTTAAATAACAGTAAAGGGAAGAGATCCCAGATGGCAGCAGGTTGAGTGGAAGCTACACTGACACTCTCCCGGGACCAAACTGGAATTATAACAAAATCACCCTGAATAATCAATGGAAGACGAGCTGGGGAGCACCCTCATAGCCAAGCAGGAAAAGGGGAGACCACATAGAGATGGTAGGAAGTGCAGAGCCTAAAGGGCTGAGCTGAAGGTCCCGAGGGAGATCTCAGCTGTGGGGGTTCCCACTGAGGGCTCTGGGTCCTAAACCCCAGGCTGGGCTCCCCAGCCCAGAGCACCAGAACTGGAAAGGTGCCCACATAACATTGGTCTCCAGGGAGAGATGGCTGGAAATGCAGGCACCCTCTTAAAGAGCCAAAGTACAAAGTTTCGTGTGCAGCCACTCATCTTGGGCTCCAGCAGAGGGAGGGCAGAGCCGACTGGAGCTGTGTGAGGAGAATGGGGGGGGAGGATAGAGCTCATAGGGCAGCCATCTGGACCCTGGTGCTGTCAATCCCCCATATGGCAGAGGACATCTTTCTCAGGCAGACATTTACCTTCCAAGCAGCTTTTGCTTTAGAGGGTAAAGCAGTTGCCCCACCCTGCTGGAAAACCTCTGGCCCCATGGCAGAGTTTCTGCAGGCTGAGGCTCATTAAGAGGCTGAATAACAGCCTCTGGGTGCTTTGAGTCTTTGCCTGATTTGCTTCTGGACCCAGGGCTTGGAAAAGCAGACCTGGGTGCACATCTTGGTCCTGTCTAAACACACCCGGCCCCAGCAGAGGAAACCAGAAGCTGTGAAGTGTGGAAAACCTCAAAGAGGGTACTCAAGGTCAGTCACAAACAGTGCCTGACATTGGCCTGCACCAGAGGCCACCCAAAAGACTGGGAGTCCTAGCAGATGAGGGACTTTAAAGGAGAGGTTGACAGCAATACAGTCACAGACTTTACTGGATAGTCACTGGAAACAGTGACTCTAAATGACACACTAGATCAGGTGGATTTAATCGACATTTACAGAACATTCCACTCCTAAGCGCCAGAATAGGCATTCTCAAGTGCACATGGGTCATTCTCAAAGATGGACCACATGTTAGGATACAAAACAAGCCTACAAGTTCAAGAAGACTGAAATCACATCAAGCATCTTCTGTTAAAACCAAGGATCCCTGCCCCTTTGAGACAGGATGGTGGGACCTGGAGAGTATTATACTGAGTGAAATAAACCAGTCAGAGAAAGACAAGTGTCACATGATCTTACTCATATGTGGAATCTAATGAACAAAATAAACCAATGGACAAAATAGATCCAGAGACATAGAAGCATGGGACAGACTGAGGAATCTCAGAGGGAAGGTGGGGATGGAGAGTGGGTGAGGAGAGATTAACATAAGGATTTATATGCACAACCCATGGACACAGACAATAGTGGGGTGAAGGCCTGGGGGGAGAGGTACAGGGTAGAGGGGATCAATGGGGGGGGAGGGGACATTTGTAATACTTTCAACAATAAAGATAAATTATAAAATTTAAAAAAAGATGTGGTTGTCCCAAGGTAGTTTTATTTACTTGCAGAAAGGAAAGGAGACATGGGATTCATATCCAAAGCCCTGGGATTCTTTATATGCACTATTTGGTTAGTTACACATTGATTCCACTCTTTGCACTTGGCTACATTTATCCCCTTGGGTTCCTGTCAAGCTCATCCTGTTTACAGGTGGTCTGCAAAATACCGTGCTACATTTTAACATTTAGCAAGAATAACATTTAGAACTGCCCAGACCTTGAGACCCTTTCCTACTAACACCACTACAGGGCGAAGGAAAAATACCATGCTAAGGGAAGAATTATCCTTTGCTCAACCCAAATTAACTTTGTTGTCCCAGCGCTTGTCTTTGCGAAGTGCGCTTGCTTTACAAGTGATTAAGGAAATTGAAGGTGATAAGCCACAGCTGCCACCCGGGGAGCCTGACCTGGAATTGGGTAGTTCACTGCACCCTCCTTACGGGATCTGGAGTCCCCAGATCCATCCCCTCCACCGGCAGCAGGGCACGATCTGCTGAAGGTAGACACCTGGCTGGTGTCTTAAGTCTCAAGAACAAACAAAATGAAAAGACCTCCTCCAGTGAGATGTGGGGGTGGTCATCAGTTAGAGTGGTTTGAGGACGCGGCCTCTATGGTGGAGGGGAGCCCTGGGGAAGAAGAGACCCAGTGAGTAGGGGGGTGTCATCTGGATGGTTTTCAAAGAAGCAACGTGATGATGCCTGTGAAGGTAACTATGGCAACGTGTAAGACCATCGCACAGCATCTACTACTAGGAAGCTGCTGAAGTCAGGCGGGAGGCTATTGCTGGTCTGCGCTGCATTTGGCCAAAGGACTAGAAAACACAGGGAGGGCCAAATACAAGAAGTAAATAAAAAGGTGCTGCAGAAAAATCAAAGACACAGAGGCCAGAGAAAGGGCTGGTGATTTCATGAGTATCTGTGGAGGGGGATTATACTTTCTTTTCCAATTGTCTGAAAAACTAGCTAGATTTTGCTGGCAGCAGGGGCCGGTCCTCCAATTGTTAATTCTCTGTCCAAAGTCTTTCTGCAGGCACCTACCTCCTCTGCCTGGAGCTCTGTCAACTACCAACCCAGCATTTCTAGACAAAACCTTGTGAAAAGTTGGCCCCAGTGGAGCCATTTACGGGGTCAGGCAGCCGTTCCAGAGTTTCTGTCTGCGCGTCTTACCCCTTGAACCTTGGAACTGGGCAAAATAACCTTTGGGCTGGGCCAGAGCAGCATTGTTGTCCAAACAATTGTAAAGCTAGCAGGAAAGCACACCTCCTGACTCCAGGACTGAACGTTAAAGGCATTCTTTAGAATTAGTGAACAGCCTTGTGTAGTTAAAGAATAACTTAGGTTATTAATACCAATACAAATCCCTTCCTTCTACTCATGTAATGATTTCCCTGCCTTTTCTCATAAAACCCCCTTGCCTTCTGTCCCATTATGGGGACATTCTTTAGGTTTCTGCCTGAATTTGTGCTGCTTGAATAGCTATCCTTTGATCTGAAATAAATGCTTGAGGTTTTTTGTTTGTTTTTGTTTTTAAACCTCACTTGAGGATATTTTCCCACTGCTTTTTAGAGGGAGTGGAAGGGAAAGGGAAGGGAGGAGAGAGAGAGAGAAATAACAACATTGATGTGAGAGAGACACATCCACTGATTTCCAACTACATGAGCCCCGACCGGGGCCAGGGTCAACCCTGCACCCCAGGTATGTGCCCTTGACTGGGAACTGAACCTGTGACCCTTCTGTGCACGGCCTTCTGTGCACACCAGCCAGGGCTCAAATAAATGCTTGTTGCCTCTCACTTTGGCTTCCTATTTTAGGTTAACAATATCAAAAACATATTTGTCTATATTCTTTTATTAATCACCAAAAGTTTTATATAAACTACTGGAAACCCTCCTGTATGTCTCCTGAGGATGAATTGAACTTTTAAAAAGATAACTAACTAGGTGACTGGAGCATCACTTGGACCCAAACTGTGAACTCAAAGGTGTTTGGGTCAGAGAAGAAAATAAAAATACTCAGATATCACACCATCTGCACACACACCCTAGCTCTGCATTCTTGTCTAGTATGTATACTCTTTTTAAGCCCCGAAGGAAATTTATTCTGCCACTATCCTATGTAAATTAATAGTTTAATTTTGCATTTTAAATTAAGAGGTTTGTGTGTGTGTGTGTTTTAACAAAGCTTTCAATTACACAGGTTTTAAATTTGTTTAGGATGACCCTATATGTTTTGCTAAGTTAGTAAGGTAATTTTCTTTGTTTTTATTTTTTAAAAAAATTATTGATTTTAGAGAGACGAGAGCGAGGGAGAGAGAGAGAGACATCTCAATTTGTTGTTCCATTTATCTGTGCATTCATTGGTTGCTTCTTTTATATGCCCTGACCGGAGATCAAACCTACAACCTTGGTGTATTGTGATGATGCTCTAACCAACTGACTACTTGGCCAGGGCTGGTAATTTCCTTTTTACTTTATTTTTTAAAAATATGTTTTTATTGATTTCAGAGAGAGGAAGGGAGAGGGAGAGAGAGAGAGAAACATCAATGATGAGAAAGTTATTGATCGGCTGCCCCCTCACGCCCCCTGCTGGGGCTCAAGCCCGTAACCCCAGGCATGTGCCCTGACCGGGAATCGAACCACAGTCTCCTGGATCCTGGGTCAATGCTCAACTGCTGCGCCACGCTGGCCAGGATGGCAGTTTTTTCTTTTGGCACTTTGAATGCTTCATCCCACTCACTCCTGGCCTGTGAGGTGTTTGTTAACTGAGAAATCTGTGGAAGGCTTTATGGGGATAGCTTGTAAGTTGCAAACGTCTCTTGCTTCTAAGATTGTCTCTTTGTCTTTGATTTTTTGACAGTTTTGTTGTTATGTGCCTTTGAGAGCATCTCTTTGAGTTGAGTTTGCTTGGTGACTTCTGAGCCTCATGAACTTGCGTGTCCAAATCTCTTCCCTCGTTAGGGAATCAGTCAATATTTAGTTAAGTAAGCTTTCTGCCCCTTTCTTCCTCTCTCCTCCTGCTGGGCCTGCAATAATTTGCAAATTGTTCCGTTTTTTAGTGCTCCATAGATCACAAAGGCTTTCTTTTTTCTTTGTTCTGTTCCAACTGGACTATTTCAATTTTCCTGTCTTCTAGCTCACAGATTCTTTCTCCTGCTGGATCCAGGCTGCTCTCTATTGCCTTTATTATTATTATTATTATTTTCATTTCATTCATCGTGCCTTCTGCTCCAATATTTTTCTTTGGTTCTCTATTATTTCTATCTTTGTTAAACCTCTCATTTTTTTAATGCATCATTTTACTGATTTCTTTGAACTGTCCTTCTTTGTTCCCTTGTATCTTATTGAGTTTCCTTAAACAAAGCTATTTTGAATTCTTTATCAGGTAAATTGCAGATCTCCGCAGTCTTTGAGATCAGTTTCTGGAAGGTTATTGTGACCCTTTGGTGATGACGCGTTTCCTGGGTTTTTCATGTTCCTTGGCGTCTTGTGTTGCATCAGTCACCTCCTCGGTCTTTGCTAACTGCCTTTGGGAGAGAAATACCTTCCATTAGTCCTGCTAGGGATTTTGTCCTTCGGACCTTCTGTGGATGCACCTGCTCCACATTTGTTTCCTTTTGTGGCGGAATTCCTAAGCACGGTTGCCGCCTTCGGATCCTGCAACGCAAAAGGCGGGTGCTGACACTCCCTTTTGTCTTCGAAAGGTGGCGCTACAACCCAAGTTTGTCGTCTCTCCTTGACCCACAGACGGGCCCGTTCTGGGTGCGCGCTCGCTGTTCCTTCGCCCAAACTCGCTCTCAGCACCACCGGGAACACTCAGGGCGCCGCTCACAGGGTGGACGCGTGTGGGTGAGGCGTGTGGTGCGCTGGGGTGCCCCTGGGCCAGCTGTGGGATCTGCACGTGACCCTAGTGGGTCACCGCCAGGCTTCTTGCTAGTCTGTGATGCATTTAGCGGCGCTGGTGTCCCTCGTTCCTCTGAGAATTCTGTCTCCTGCTCGCCCAGCCTCACTCTTTGGTACCGTGGCGGCGCAGGAGAGGAACAGCCCTCCCCGGCAGCACCTGGCACCGCTGGGGACGCTGGGCGCTCACTCACCCAAGCGCTCTCACTTTCTCCCGCGGGCTGAAAAGGTCTCTCTTGGCCCTAAACTGGGGTGCCTTAGGGGAGGCGTGGTGCCGGTAAAGTCAGACTGTTCCTCTTACCCGCATGTTTTTCTGCTCTGATGATGAGCTGGAACTTTCCCACCGGACACCTGGACTCCTACAAAAGCTCTTTGTGGGCGATGGTGTAAGACCGTGTTTTCCAGGGGCTCCCAGACTGTGGTCAAGAGGGGCTGGAAACAGTTCCCGGGCCGCTGCAGCCTCTATAGCTGGGCCTGAGGTCTGTATGCCCAGGATCTGATGCCATAGAGGTGCTGATACTTAGCAAACACCGATTAGCACTAACTTCATGCCAGGGATTGTGCTACAAGTTGGGGCAACAGCGACCTGCAAAATTAGCCCCCCCGGTCCTCATGGCGTTTGTAGTCTGGTGGCAGGCATGAAACAAATAACCATGGTGCTGTGAATGCAAATAGTGGAAAGCCAGGGAAGCCTTCCCTGATTAAGGGGTGATGCCACTGGTGTGAAACAGGGTGACTGGAATTAATTAGGGACATGCAAAGTCGGGGCGCTGGGAACGTTTCCGGCAGGCAGAGGAGCGTGCCCGAGAGCTGCACGAGGGAGATGCAGAGCGGGCCTTGGGCTGGAGGAAAGGCCCCCGCAGCAGGCGTTGTGGGGCGCGTCTGCTCGGCGACAAATCCTCAGCAGCAGGGAGACTCGAGCCAGGGCTCAGGGGAGGGGGCGAGCGCGCACCTCCTGCGCATGCCCGGTGCTGGGTTACGTCACCGCGGGGCGCCTGCGCGTGACGTCACTTTCCGGCGCCAGGGGAAGAGGCGCGGGGCGGCCCACGTGGGTGTCGGCGCGACTGCCGGCCGGGCTCATGGCGACTTCTGTGGGGCTGGCGCTGTGCGGGCAGGC